AATTAAAACACAAACGTCGAAACTGTTATTCTCCTCGTGACTTGTCATTGATAAGCCTGACCTTATGTCTCACTTAACAATGATAATTCATAATCCGTTTGTTTGACGAAAAAGAAACCGCAGGTGTACAAATTGCGAGTTTTAGACATATCTTATAAAGACAAAGTCCAATGAATTTTACAGGAGATGTTAAACTAATCCACTCTGCAACAGCCGAAGCGTTATGGATAGTGAGAGTACCAGTCAAGCATGGTCCCAAATCATTCATTATAGAACTTTCGACTTATATTTAGACGTGTGACCTATTCCGAAGCTCCTTGTCTCAAAACAAACTTTGGCATTTGACAATCTAGCTTCAGCTTTGTCGATTTCAATCAATAGCCTAATATCTGGATTATTTTACAGACGAAGCTAATTGATAGGGTATTGTTGATTTCAGCTTGATCATGTTGAATTTCTTGTTGGGATCTCATCTTACCAAGGCATATGGCTTTCGGCATCTATTGATTAACGCCCGGCTTATGCAGTATATATCGAAATCGACATCGCTATGAGCGAATTGTCGTGCGATATGACATCGATCAATTTCAGCATGAACGCTTCTCTCTCAGATATGGCTTTTAGCTGCATAATGTAGTTTTCTTGAACCAGGCATGAGACATAAGGAAAACAGAATTATTCATTTCATCTACAGATGAGTGACAGGCATCAATTTCAACTTTAGTAGAAAGGACTCCATGAAATCATAATTATTTGGCATCACAGCGGTTCATCTATATATTCGAACAAGGGCTGAGAAGATATATTTGTGTTAGATTATGTGTGTGAGACTTCAAAGATTGAAGGCACCCACTAAGTCTGTGAAACATGCAACGAGGGAATACTTTTTAGACAAGTGTGCTGAATCTGATTTGTAATTGATGGAGAGCGAATTTCCAGTTAGATGAACACTCATGGATTATTCTAATCATCGTTATTATCATTATTATAATTGGCGTTGCAACTGTATACCCTGGACTATAGGTCAGGTTTTGGTTTATTTAATTCCGTCCAACTTATACGACACAAACACTTAAACAATTATTGTAAGTGTTTGTAATGCTCTGTGGAATACCCTTCTTCCAAACTACCGAGTGTTTCCGTAGGGGATGGATGTGCTGTTTCTCACAACCAAAAACCACAGCGAGTAGTGTTTGTGATTACGACACGGACATTAAAAAGCTCCCGGGTTAAACTTTCACGCCAGAGAATTTGCTTTTAATGATCAAAAAACACATTAATTCTGTCCTAAAAGACATCAGTTTCGCCCAATCCACGTCCGCCAAGAATACATATATATATATCCCACTGTTTGTTTGCTTGCTTTCCTTTGTTCTTTTGCATGGTTTATAAAATTTTATTTAATTTGTCTGATGATATTTTACATTATATTGCGCGGGAATAATGATATTTTTAAAAATATTCTTTCATGAAACCAATGTACGCGCTGTGTTTCTAAAAGTCGTTAAAAATTTGAGGCCAAAGCTTGAAATAAATTAAGAACTTCGTTACAATGAGTATACGGGTACTTTATATGAAATTTACGATGTATCAGACTGACGAATTTAAATATTCCCCATGACATTACGGCATTTCGTGCTCCTTTCTTCATAATTTATAAACACGAGTCTTTGATTGACATTTGAGTGACAGGTACTTTCGAGGCATCACCGATGTTTTCCGTTTTGAAATAGGTTTAATGTTTTATTTTCAGAAACACGAAAGAGACAATGTCTATCAATAGGTGTGTTTGCAGTCATCGTTCATTATTCAAAAGCACACAGAGAAATAAACGTTTTTAACAAAATAGCCCGGAACGAGTCTGAACGCTACATTGCAAATAAACATAATAAGTCACTGCTTACACGAAACAATAATGTGTTAAGTTCAAGAATTGGCCAAACCTGGTTCATTTCTGCATAGAACACATCTGGGTTTATAACAGTATTAAAAAATCAATTCACTGTTTAAAACATTTGGCTCTTATGTGACCAATTTTTCAGTGCAGAGTATACATATTCGTTTGTAGTTTTGGCTATGTGTTGTTGTGTGTGCATGTGTCGATCATGTCGACGTCGGTGTATTCATCTCTTGTGTTTCCATGGTGTAGAGTCGTCTTGAATACATTATTCATTCTTTCCCTCACGTGCCATGCATTATGAATTATCATTTACGTGTATCGGACACTAACATCACACGTTTCCCGTAACTTCAGGCCGATCTTGCCGTACCAAGCCACTTCACCATCGTATCTTCAAATTCGTAAAATTCAGAAAAACGTAATTGAATAAATAAGAATTTGACCTGCCTTTTTTATGTTGTTACGTGTTGCATACGTGACAAGTTTCCCGTAACTTCAGGCCAATCTAACCGCACCAAGTCACATCGCCATCGTACCGTTAAGTTCGTAAAATTCAGAAAAAAGTAATTAAAGGAAAACAATCTGACCTGACATTTTCAACGATGTTAAGTTTGGCAGACATAAATTTCCCGTAACTTCAAGCCATCCCACCCATGCAGGACACAAACTATTTGTTCCCTCAAATTCGTAAACATTAAAACGAAAAACAATTTAAGAAATATATATCTGACCTGGAATTGAGCATGTAGTTTAGGGTGGTAGATGTTTGTTAAGTCCCAAACGTGAGTTACAAATCTGTAAAGCCTTTTTTGAGGCTGCACGATTCCCTGTAAATATATTTATAATTATGACTAGTTTGTTAAATTATTGTATACTAAAGAAATAAAGTAACGACACATGTTTTATAGTAGCTTAAACTAACACATTCAACAAATTGTTATTCGATGGTAATGCGTTTGTGTCGGGTATCATGTTTGTGTTATTATTTTTTTATCTTAAGTTTGCAGAGTTTCGGTACCTGGTTTCAGCCAAGTAACGTTTTGATAATTTTCGTACACTTTTGATTTTAAAGGGCGTACAGTAGTTTGCCCGGCAGTTTACTGATTAACACTGGAATCAATACCCTTTCACTCGTTACATCAAAGTTTGATTTATTGGTTTTATGACACAAATATTCCCACGATGGGTGGATAACCCTCACTCGGTTATCCTTCACACAAACAGACCATTCAGTGAAACTAATGTTTAGTAAATAAACATGCCCCCGGCATTTCATAAATCACAGCATTCGATATAAAACGAAATTTCGTTACTGACAATTTAATGAAAGGGTTTACCCTAATCCTCAACAAGGAACCAAAATCACTTCTAATCACACCTCATGATGTTCAATCGTCAAGTGTCGTAAAGCAATTATTTCAATAGCACTTAGTTTTTATTGCCTGTCTAGGCATTTCGCAAACAATAGCCAAGGCGAGAGAATTGCAATTATCTCCCTTTGGTAATAAACCGATTAGCTCGCCCAGTATATTGTTTTCAGGAGCCATCGAAATCTTTGTGTTTAATTGTCAACATGCGACTGCTGTCAAATTTATTCGACTCTGTCACTGAGTCATAAATGCCGAATAGGCGCCAATACCCACAAACGCTGCCTTTGCACTTACATATTGGGGTCGGATGTATGTTTTGACCGAGATAGCAGGCAGCGTTGTATGTGCCTGGGAGATCTTTAACTCGCATGGCGTTGTTACCTCGTGTCGTCAAATCGAGTAAATGTCGCTCTCCTGTCCACGAGTCTGGACGTATTCTTTTACCGGTTTTAACGCCTTTGATCATATAGTTTGATTTATTGATTTCACTGGGGACAGGTAGGGTAGTTCCCTGTAGCCCTGTCTGTTTCCTATTAGATAGCATCGGGCCCAGAATCAAAGAAAACGCCCGCACACTTTTATCCCATGCTGACGTTTACGGTTCGCTAAACTCGAGACAGAGCTAGTAAGGATCACTGCTCAGATATAATACGTTAGGCCTACCGAAAAGCGGATTGTGGTGCTTTTCTTGCTATTAATACTCCACGTGTGTTCATATTACTAGTCAAGGGTAATAATCGGAAGAGCGCTGAGACAAGCTTTTGTAATGCAACGGGCCATTAAGGCATATGTAGGCTTAGAGACAGAAAATTAAATCATCAAAAATGCATATGTAAAAAAACAGATGGTTTAATACACTGTCGCTTAGTGCGAGATTTCACTTGTTTACTGCATGAGTGAGTTTGAAAAAAGGGGCGGTTTTACTCGATTTCAAAAATAGCAATAACAAGTCGATGTTTGGTCGTCAGAAACTTCAACTAGGAGCTTTGTTGATTGTCTGGTCCATAGTGTCAAAGCCATGTTTCATAATGTACGGATACAGTTGGTCCATTGAAACGTGTTACTTTCAACAAACGACACTTCGACATAGAGCAAAACATACAGAGTTATTATGACATTCCATTATCAATTGAACAGTACATTAGGAAATAAGGTAGTTAACCACATATGCATGACATTGTATGCACTAATATTTCTTGTTTTATGTAAATTAACAAATATATGTACACATTTGCCATATTTATAAAATATTAATTCCTATCTATAAATATAGATATTCCTATCTATAAATATAGATCTATAAATATATATAATATATATATATATATATATATATATATATATATATATAGCAATGAGATGATAAATATGTACATATTGTTGTATATATAGAAAATAGTACATGTTGAAAAAAAAAAGGGAAACAACAACAGTGTATTGATAATTATTAAAAAAAAGTTCATAATAAAATTTGATACATTATGGGTTTTTTCAGAAAAATAATTCTGGATCAATAGCAATGTCGATGATATGCAAATGCTCTTCACGTTTGTTTTGCATTTTGCATACGTGTCTTTAATACTTAGCAACGCGGAAGACAATGCGTTGTATCACAATTTACAGAATAAAAGTGAAGAATGTTTTAAAAATATATTGTTAATATTTTTAAATATTTTTTCAACAAGATATTTCTGACGATTTGAACTAACATATTTTTCTTTTGATTTCAGAGGTGCATTTTGAACAGAAACGGACGCGACAGACATATACAAGGTACCAAACTCTTGAATTGGAGAAGGAATTCCATTTTAACCGGTATCTCACCAGGAGGAGAAGGATTGAAATTGCACATATGTTGGGACTTACTGAACGCCAGATTAAAATCTGGTTTCAAAATCGACGAATGAAGTGGAAAAAGGAAAATAATTTACAGAAGCTTACAGGTCCCGATAAAAGCATGAAGGAAGAGTCACTCTCTCCCCAGAGCATCACAAACAGTACCCCCATAAACATGAACGTCCCTTCGCCCCAGGATTCGACAGGGTAGGGTGCTACGGCCTTGACACTCCCACTTGAAACCACAGAAAACGAGAAATACAGTCTCGGTATATCCTCAGGGTAAATGTCTAAACCAGTTGATCATTTGAACTCATCTTTTTTGTAAATTTGAGTGATTCAACTGTATCGGAGACTCGAATGCGGGTGGATTTTTGTCCATTCGTTCGAACCGTGTACCTCGATCGTGAAAAAGGACATTTAAACCACCTCAAACTTTACAAAGGAGGAAGATGCCCGAACGGATTGGTGATGATTCTTGCAAGTGTGATCAGGAAATAGACTTGAAATGCACAAGCTGAAATTGACAAAAAAAGTGCAATTGACAGTAATAGACATGATATGTGTTTCTCATGCCCCTGAGCCAAGCTTCAATTCTTACATTTGAAATGCTGATATTGCATTATCTATACAGTGGGTTAATCCAGCTTTCACCAGTCATTATCCATCTTCAGACAAACCATTTTAATCTGTTTAAATATGTTCCTGGTCCTATGAAACCTTGCAGTGTAATACCTTATCGAAATTCAGTTAAAAACTGAAACACATTAGATTATTCGATATTCAAAGGATGTTAGAATGAAGGGGAAGACAGAACCATTCGCCAAAAGACTAGACCAAATGAAGACTCCCGTTAAATGTCTGGAAAATGTTAGCCTACATTTTCGTATGTGTAAACTATTACGAATTGTTTGTTTCATATACCTTTTTACGAATAATTGTTGTCCAACCAATTTATTTTAAGTATTGATTGTAATTTCGTGAGAATTGTCTACATAACACATTTCGAGGGAGTAAAACTATTTGCTTTTAGTTATCATTCCGGTTTTATCCAACCAATCCACAAACCCGTATTATCGGGTTGTGCATTTTATATATACAATGCTGGAAATTCAGAGTTTGAATGCATATTTCTAGGGGTTGTATCCGTTGATTGCATAACAGTAGACGAGAATTTTGAATATGTAATATATTTTCCGTGTTGGTTTCCACACATCATTGAAATCCTCAGAGACAAACCGTTGACTTAGTAATACAAGATGCTCAAAAGAAATTCATGTTCATTTAACGTCCCAAAACATTAACGTTATACATAAAACAAGTAAAGCCCAACAGTGATGAAATGTAAATATATTTATGATTTATAAAAATAAATAGCCACAGGTCTAACTGACCATTTAGTGCTATTCTGTGTTGTGCGCGCAGGCGAGGAGAAAACTCGGTTCATCATTTTTTTGCAAAAACGAGAATTATGAATATATTTTGTTATTTGTATATTCATTTCCATTTGTCAATATCGGTAGTCAAGATTAGACGTTTAAATTATCAACTTACGTTACAATATCATCTTGTTTTCAATAAATGTCATATCAGTTTACCGTCTTGTGTCTGTTTTTTCAATTTAATACCATTTTGTACTGGCACAAGCTGCCTCCGTTATATAAGTATATTATTTGATGATTCATTAAATGCTCTCGTCTATTCGGTGTTCTACGTTTGTTAAATATTCATGCGTATTCTTCCAACATTAGTCTAAATAGACTGCACTCTTATGTACAATAATTATCCATCTACACTAAGAAATTTGCAAAAATGGAACCCTAACATTTCATGCTAAGACATGCAGCCAGGACCATTATTTTACACGTCTAACTGTTTGGTCAGGCACGTTGTGGTAATTATTCAAATTTACATTTGTTTAATAGTCGGTCTGTATATTGTCGCTGGTACAAGAGTACGTTTGAATTACGTCAGTATTTAGTATTCTGGGACAAAATATGAATTTACATTGTACATTGGGCCCGTTCTGGTACGACGGTGAAAGGAATATATGTACTTTAGAACAATGCCAACATATGTGGTAGCATCAAAAATGCAATCGTGATACTATAAATATTGGTTCAAAAACACATGATGGATATATATGTGTGTGTGTGTGTGTGTGTGTGTGTGTGTGTGTGTGTGTGTGTGTTACAACATCTGTTAACTTGTTTGAAGAAATTCACATTATTGTATATTTATATGTGTATGAAAATTCAACTTCAATTAAACAATAAATATCTATGTAGTGATTCAGAATGTCAGTTTGAACTTGAGATCGTCGTGCTACAATAAGTTATTCGTATTTAAAAAATGACAACTTCAAAAATTAAAAAGTATGCACTCAAAAACATATATCTCTGAATAGTCAGCCAACATCAAATATGTCTATTGCAATCACACAGGATGTCAATTTCGTTTCAGAAGCGCACATTTATCGTTTTCGCATCTACTGTGGTAGTGCCTCCTGTTTCGTTTTGTAGCCATAGAATGGTTCTTCTGGAGTGTTTAATTGATTTACGTCCGTGTCGAGAGGACGTGTATAGAAGATATGACTATCTCTTGGTTCATATCTCCTTCTGTTAAGAATTAGCCTGTGTCTTGTGCTTGTAAACCCAGGTAATACGTTCTTCCACGAGCGTAAATTAAAGGAGACAGGGTACAAACCAACCGTACAGAGATATGTTGCAGATTATGCACATAAGCTCTATACTTCAGCATTAGTGGGAGTAGATGCGTACCTTATGTCACAGTGAGATGATCTTTCAACATCGTATTTGAGTAATAATTGCAAACGAAGGGGCAACTGAATTAGCCTTTAGCATCTGGTCTAGATTGGTACGCGTATACAGGGGTTCCTTCTGGAACACACGCATTTGATATTTGCTGCGTCAGCCATTAAGGTAAACGTCAAGGTGTCGTGGGTATATTTTAATGAGGGTGAGGATATGTAAAGACTTGTAGACGGGAGGGGCACTTTTCTTGCCATTTTTTGTGGGCTCTTGGTTTCTCATTGTCATCGAAATTGAAGTATACCTGACCTCCTGTGATTATAACGCACACATTTTGGTATTATTTATTGTGTGTTCTCTTGCCAAGCAAATGCAACCCTTAAGAAATCAGCTGGAAACTCGAATGTGATATAATAGATTTGACTTTTATTTGTCTCTTACAGACACAAGCATTCTCGTAAAAATGTATTTAATCCACACGCGTGTATTTGAAATGTTACAAGCACACGCACATGCACTTGCACACGCACACTCACACACACGAGCGCTTACCTGTAAGACATGCTCATTATACGGGACACACATTTATAGAAACGCACAGTTAACATCCAAGACGTCGAAGATGATTGTTACCAATATGTGTTACCTATAAATGCTGGTAAGAAATCAACATTGAATGTAACACTTACCGCAAAGCTACTCAACGTTAAACCTGTCACTCACAATGAAATGTACAACAATCAGCTGTTGTCGATTGATGACAGCAATGCACAAATGTAGACACAAATGCTGTTATTGTCTGCTAACTTAAAAGAGAATTGGGTTACCTTCACAGAACCGAAATGTACATGAAATGTAGATGAGTAATTCAAAGTACAAAATATCGGAATGTTATAAACATGCACACAATGCTGTACCACAAGCGACAGCCAAGTGTATGAATATTCGTCCATGGGATTATCATGTCAATACATATCTCACAATGCAGCTGGTCAGATTTAGCGAGTTATTGAAACAGTTGTGCAGCGGATCAATCCCATGATTGTATATGACATTTAATTACAATTTGGCCCTAATCAATATCAATACGGCTGCAGGGTCGTATAATAACTGTGATCATACATGGCATCTCCGACGCGACATATATCTTCTTCATCCCGTGCCATATACCAGAGTCAGTCGTGATTAAAAAAACCATGTGCTGTGTTGGTTTTTAATGCATTTCAGCTTGTATTTTATAACACGTATGTCATGCTTTCTACGAAAGCTTGGCAATTATCTGATTGGCACTTAATCGTTAGTGGTTGTCACGAACAATGTGTGTATATTGCTTATTTCATCCATGCTTTGAATTAGCTGAAAACGTTTCACACTTTCGTGGTAATAATTTATCACGATAACTACTGATTGACGTACATATTGCATGTGTTACTATTTATATGGGCCACATAGAGCACTTACCACATTGAACGTAAGTATCGGCATGCACGCAAAGAAACGACTCTACATTTAACTTTACTAGAAAATGCAGATACAAAAAGGTATAAAGAAAACATTTGTTCACGACATGCTCTTCTTAAACGCTGCAGCTTTGTTAAAAATGTAATGCATTCTTTTGTATTTATGAACATATTATTTCCAACATAACATATCATCATGTTAAGTAGATGTTTTTCCCAGCTTATCATAATGTTCAAAATGCTTCTTACTTATCGTATCATTATATCATATATGTAACTTATCTTATGTATCATTATATTTAGTATTTTTCTTCCCTTGTTTATCATCATATTCAGTATTCTTCTTACCTTGTTTATAGGTATAATCAGCATTCTTCTTACCTTGTTTATCAGTATATTCAGTATTCTTCTTACCTTCTTTATCAGTATATTCAGTATTCGTCTTACTTTGTATATCAGTATATTCAGTATTCTTCTTACCTTGTTTATCACTATATTCAGTATTCTTCTTACCTTGTTTATCAGTATATTCAGTATTCTTCTTACCATGTCTATCAGTGTATTCAGTATTCTTCTTACCTTGTTTATCAGTATATTCAGCATTCTTCTTACCTTGTTTATCAGTATATTCAGTATTCTTCTTACCTCGTATATCAGTATATTCAGCATTCTTCTTACCTTGTTTATCAGTATATTCAGCATTCTTCTTACCTTGTGTATAAGTATATTCAGCATTCTTCTTACCTTGTTTATCAGTATATTAAGTATTCTTCTTACCTTGTTTATCAGTATATTCAGTATTCGTCTTACCTTCTTTATCAGTATATTCAGTATTCTTCTTACCTTGTTTATCAGTATATTCAGTATTCTTCTTACCTTGTTTATCAGTATATTCAGCATTCTTCTTACCTTGTTTATCAGTATATTCAGTATTTGTCTTACCTTCTTTATCAGTATATTCAGTATTCTTCTTACCTTGTGTATCAGTATATTCAGTATTCTTCTTACCTTGTATATCAGTATATTCAGCATTCTTCTTACCTTGTTTATCAGTATATTCAGTATTCTTCTTACCTTGTTTATCAGTATATTCAGCATTCTTCTTACCTTGTTTATCAGTATATTCAGTATTCTTCTTACCTTGTTTATCAGTATATTCAGTATTCTTCTTACCTTGTTTATCAGTATATTCAGTATTCTTCTTACCTTGTTTATCAGTATATTCAGTATTCTTCTTACCTTGTTTATCAGTTTATTCAGCATTCTTCTTACCTTGTTTATCAGTATATTCAGTATTCTTCTTACCTTGTTTATCAGTATATTCAGTATTCTTCTTACCTTGTTTATCAGTATATTCAGCATTCTTCCTTACCTTGTTTATCAGTATATTCAGCATTCTTCTTACCTTGTTTATCAGTATATTCAGTATTCTTCTTACCTTGTTTATCAGTATATTCAGTATTCTTCTTACCTTGTTTATCAGTATATTCAGTATTCTTCTTACCTTGTTTATCAGTATATTCAGTATTCTTCTTACCTTGTTTATCAGTACATGTATATTCAGTATCCTTCTTACCTTGTTTATCAGTATATTCAGTATTCTTCTTACCTTGTTTATCAGTATATTCAGTATTCTTCTTACCTTGTTTATCAGTATATTCAGTATTATTCTTCTTACCTTGTTTATCAGTATATTCAGTATTCTTCTTACCTTGTTTATCAGTATATTCAGTATTCTTCTTACCTTGTTTATCAGTATATATTCTTCTTACCTTGTTTATCAGTATATTCAGTATTCTTCTTACCTTGTTTATCAGTATATTCAGCATTCTTCTTACCTTGTTTATCAGTATATTCAGTATTCTTCTTACCTTGTGTATCAGTATATTCAGTATTCTTCTTACCTTGTTTATCAGTATATTCAGTATTCTTCTTACTTTGTATATCAGTATATTCAGCATTCTTCTTACCTTGTGTATCAGTATATTCAGTATTCTTCTTACCTTCTTTATCAGTATATTCAGCATTCTTCTTACCTTGTTTATCAGTATATTCAGTATTCTTCTTACCTTGTTTATCAGTATATTCAGTATTCTTCTTACCTTCTTTATCAGTATATTCAGTATTCTTCTTACCTTGTTTATCAGTATATTCAGTATTCTTCTTACCTTGTTTATCAGTATATTCAGCATTCTTCTTACCTTGTTTATCAGTATATTCAGTATTCTTCTTACCTTCTTTATCAGTATATTCAACATTCTTCTTACCTTGTTTATCGGTATATTCAGCATTCTTCTTACCTTTGTTTATCAGTATATTCAGTATTCTTCTTACCTTGTTTATCAGTATATTCAGTATTTATATTAC